TACTTTGAGGCCCTATTCAACTCTACAAATCCGTACGTGGTTCCACCGGATACCGAACCCTCACCTGATGTCACTTCCACCATACGCCCCGACGATGTAATGGAGACAATACTACGCTATCCCAATAAGGGACCTGGCCCCGACGGGATCCACATCCTCCTCCTGAAGGCCGCAGTAGAGCGCTCTACCGAACGCCGGACATTGGGACGCCCCGACGCCAATAGCCCACTGATTAGACTCCTTGCCGAAGCATTCACTGAGCTACTGAAGGCGGGTACCTTCCCCGCAGCCCTGAACTGCAGCCTCCTAACAGCGCAACCAAAGAAAGCCGATGCAGATATCACCTCCCCCCGCCGACTTCCGCCCCATCACGCTTACGCAAATAGTCAGACGCATCTTTGAAAAGTGCTTTCTTAATCTGATTACGAGCCACCCCGGCTCTGCTACCCATGCTACCCAAGCTGGCTTCAAATCACGGTACTCCTGTCATACCCAAGCACTTGCCGCCATAGAATCTGAGACACAGTCAGAAGAGGAGTGGAACGACGTCTGTCTGGACATAACCAAGGCATACGACAAGGTCGCTCTCCCACGCCTATGTGTACTTCTGCGTCACGCTGGAATGCCCGAAAACTGGATCAACTGCCTCCGTGCGCTGTTTGAGAGGGTCCCTACCCGAGTGACATATCGCGGCACGCTCTCGTCTCTATTCCTTAGAACGAATGGCATCCTACAAGGCTCAATCGTCGGCCCCCAGCTTTTTATTATCTACATGGATTCCTTAGCTGTCACGCTAGCACAATTTCGGCCCAAGCTCCTCCGTTCTTTTTTATTTGTCGATGACACACGGATCCAAGCCCCTCGATCGGTTTCGCTCCAGCCCTTCTTAGATGACATTGATGCGTGGGGATGCAAAACTGGCCTAGAACAGGGTGTCATTAAACCCCGAGTACGATCTACCGATTTGCGACACGCGGCGCCAACCCTCCGTATAAATGGTGGGCTTATCACGCCGACACTTGCAGACGCACCTTGGAACACACGTTACCTCCCCCTGAAACTGGCGCCCACACATGCCGAACCGAAACACTACAAATACCTGGGGTTCCCACTCTCTCACGGAGTACCAGGAATCAACCTCGCTAGACATATGGAATCCCTGGTTGCAGCATTGTCACTGGGTATCGCCTCTTTCCGCGCCTATGGCTTCCATGGCTTCAGCTGGCGACACCCCCGCAACCGACTGGTGATGTTCAAAACATTCATCCTATCCACGGCTACATATGGGCTGAACATTATTGCCTGGGCTCCGCCTATATGGAAGGATGCGTTGGACCCCCTATTCGAACGCTTTAACTCAGCACTTATTCAAGCAGCAGCCATCATCACGGGCACTAAATACCCTCGGTTTCCCAAACATCAAACAAACTTACTTCACTTTTGCGGCCTGCTCCCCGCGCGACCATTTGCGGACTACCTCGGAGGTTGCCTGGGAATACAACTTGACTCAATGGCAAGCACAAATCCACTTACCCCTCTGACGCAACCCGCCTGGGCCCACGATAAACCATCACTGCGCTTCCCGTACAGTATCTATGCTCACCTGAAAACTGTACACAAAACCACGGGCGAGTGTACACCCGACCATGTAGCCCTCCGCCAACGCTGTGACGACATCCGGAAGAACTCAACAAAACGTTGGTCCAACAAAGAGATCGCGGCAATGGCCCGGCGCCAATACTACTACCAACTGGTTATGGGTAAACCGCCAACCTCAAACCGAGACACAGCCAGACACGGCAGCTTCAATCGCTGCTTCGAGTCTACATCAATCCGGCTCTGTGCTATGATTGTAACGAATACGTACATGTTCACATTGCTCGCC